CTCTCTCCCCCCCCCAGAGAGAGAGAGAGAGAGAGAGAGAGAGAGAGAGAGAGAGAGAGTTCTCAAAGTGGCAATAGGAGGATTTCAGAGATGGTGAGGTGGCATAGGAGGAGATGGAGATGGGGAACTTCACCAGGGAGGGGGATGAATGAAGCTGCCTAACACGGAGACAAGCTGCCCTGTCGACGGGCCTGGGTATTGCGCAAAGTTGCCCACCCCGTATGGAGGGCAAACTGGGTAAAACAGGGTGCAGGCCCAGGCCCAAATGACGCAGTCCAGATTGCAAATTTGCACATGGGCCTGACAGGGGTAAAATGGAAAGATTTAGGCCCAAAAGGGCATTCCGCTCTGCCCACATCTTTTAGGGGCATTTTGGCATATATCTCAACTTATAGGGGTATTTCGCAAATTATCCCTAAAAAAAACTTGTGTTGTGACCACTGCTTATCCCGGCTCTCTCCTGCTTGACCAAGTCGGACTCCCCTGTAATCAATCACCGGTTTGTCCCAGTGGTCGTGATAGCCAAGATTCCACGTGGCTGCCGGCTATCGGGCTCGGGGTATCATGCGAGCATAATCCACACGATCTGATCAGCACTAATTAGTAATTACTGTCTTATCTACCGTCATCACAATGTGGGCCTTTCGTCTTCCCCCGAATAGAACGCACTGTCATCACAGCCGTTTTCGGCGCAGCTTTCCGCCTAGATACGGCGACAATGGCCGTGCGTTCTATTCGGGGGCAATCGGTAGATTACTGGACCATAAATTAGTAGTAATTACTCTCGTATCCACTATCCACGTGGCCCTTCCGTCTTCCCCCCCGAATAGAACGCACGGTCATTACACTCTCATTTTCTAGATCTAGTGCCATTCGACCATTTCTCCCGCTTGAATCGTGAATCGTGTTAAATGAACTTAAATCCATAGACGCGTGCAATTCTATCTCCTACCGAAACCACTCGACCGACTTCATTCACTTGTGATTTTTGGTGTAAAAAACACTGTAATTGGTAATTCTTTTTTCTCACAAAGTAGATCGTTCCCGCCGTATTCGGCGCAACTTCCCGCCTAGATACGGCGATAATGGCCGTGCGTTCTATCCGGGGGAAAACGGTAGATAATGGACCATACCCGCTCGACGGCTGCGGTACGATCGGATGCATTTCAATTGGCTATAATGGGTCTGCCCCGTCTGGGTATCATGCATGCGTGCATATGTGCACACCATCATCATGATGAGAGGCAGCATTTTTTACGATGATCATCATCACTGACGTGGCACCCTAGAGGAATCGATCACGCACGCCGATCGACGGCTGGGACTTGACGGCATTTCGGAAGGCCATACCTTGGCCCGAAAGGCAGACTTAACGTCCTCTACGCTGCACTCCTCTGGCAGGCCCAGAATCTCAAAAGGGTCGGTACTCGCCAGTATCCCGACCTCCTCATCAGCGGCTCTAATTCGCCCGCCACAGTCACTCCCCTCCGTTTTCCGTTTCCAAACGACACGTGGCTGTCTGCGAAGAATTCCAATTCCATGCCCAGCGCCTGTCTCCCACAGCTGGTTCAACGTGTGGCATCGGCCACGTGTCATCCGAAATCCGGTCGCCCGCGACCGCCAATCCGGAAAAGAAGTCCAACCAGCTTCGTTCACCGCCTCGAGCTCGAGGCCGCCGCGTGGACCTGACAGTACCCCCCCCGCCACCCCACCCACGACCACCGACAACAGGCCGATGGCCATCTTGCCGAGGCCGAGATGGAACTGGAACTGAAGCCTTTTGTGTCCGTTGGTGCTGCGTCGCTTACTCAACTTCTAGTGGCTGCGTTCTGCACCTCTTCTGCGTCTTATACCTTTTTTCCTCTGTTCTCAGGGCATACTCACACTGGGACCTACAATTTTAAATCCCCCCCAAAAAAGGGGTAGCGGGCCAATCACACATATCTGTTTTATTTTTTTTTATTTTTTTTTTCGGGATCGATCACACAGATTTGCCAAAAAAAAAAAAAAAAAAAACCTATTGGTGTGCCCATTTGTCAGCGTCCTACTTAATTTTTTGATTTTTTTGAACTTTTATTAGATTTTCTTCGAAAATCGGCAAAATTCGTTCACAAAAGTTCTGGCACAATTTGTGGACGGCGCCGCGTGACAAGCCAAGAACCAAATCCCCATTTCTTCAGACGGCCGCTACCTTGTCACATCTGAAAAGGTACAGCAGTGTGGCGTGAACCATGCCCAAAATCTTAAATAGGCCCTTCACAAATCCACATATTTTGAGGATCTGGGGTGGCAGTGTGAGTATGCCCTCACATTCGCTAGAATTCCAATCACAAATAGGCAAGCACCCCACAGCTTTTTTTTTTTTTTTTTTTTTCAAACAAGCTCTATCTATTGGTGGGGAGCAGCACCTGCTGGAAACCGGGTCCAGCCTCCCATAGATACAACCATATCCTCACTAATTGGCACAAACTGGGAACCGGGCCCAGCGTCCCATAACGAGTACATTCAGACAACTTCATCAGTCAATTTCAAGAAAATGAGACAAAGAACTACAAAGAACTACTAGAAAACTTTAATTGGCCTAAGGATGGAATTTGGAAAATTGAGATACCGGGACCATTACCCGGCTTTAACTCGGAACAATTGGAACTACTTCAGACATGTCTATGACAACTTCATGATTAAGCAGATTTTCAGAAACGACTCGGAAGAAGCCCCATCGATCCACTTTGCCTCACTCCAGCAAGACTGACTGCAGCGGAGCCACCATCTCTACTGTTGCTATGCCATACTCCCATCCTACCAGCTAGCCCCCTCACTGGTAGGACGCGTGATAACCCACCATCTTCTCCCACACACCTTATTAACTCTTACCGTCGTTCCAGAAGCAAGAGAATGGGCCACAGAGGTCCTACGATTGTTCGAAAAAACTTGAAAACCCACACAAACCCTTCCAACGTTCTCCAAAACTGGCGTACACTATGTCACTCTCTTCCAGGTCTCACACCCCCACTTTCTGCTGGGTTACAGGGCAACGCAACTCACCCCAGCTCCGACCAGTGTCATCCCGGCAGCAACCCTCGGTTGTCCCGTGGGAAGCCCCCCCAAGACCTCCCCAGATCTCTCTACCAGACCTCACGCTACTGCAACGCAGGTTACAGGGCAACACCCCAGCTCCGGTCAGCGTCGTTCTGGCATCGAACAACCGCAGATCTCTGAGTATAACAGCGTTGACGCCACGTAAGAAAAGTTGGTAGGGATCCCTAAGTTCTAAAAAAACATCCTACGACCACTAAGCACCCAAATCTCTTTAGGACATTCAAAAAGTATTTTTAAGGAAAATATGAACGGGGGGGCAAAACTAAAAATGTCTACTATCATAAATTCCCCCTTCCAACAGATGGAGCGTCGGTCCAAGCTTTCAGACCTCGTACCAGAACTCGCTTGATCTCCTACCCCCTTCTGCTAGGGTAACAGGGCACCACAACCCTCCCCAGTACCGATCAACCTAGTTCTGACAGAGAGGAAGTGCCTTCCTCCCTCGACAATTCCCATAGCGGCAAGCCCCTAAGCAGGTTACAGGGTCAATACCCCAGCGCCAGCTATATCGGACGATCTGGTTATGCCTTCCACCCTCGGCATAACTTCCCAGGACTCAAGCTCCCCCTGGGTTACAGAGCAGCAGCTCCAGCACCGGCCTGTGTCATCCCAGCCTCGTCCTTCTGACCTACTTACCCAAACAAACAACCTTTTCTGTTGGAGGTCCCCTTGCTACCTGCCCTCCTTCAACCCTAGCTTCCCCCCCCCCTTCGGCTCACTGTGTGGCCCTAAAAATCACTCCTTCCCTCAGAAAATCCTCACACTGCTATAAGCAGCCACCCCCTTGCCTTCTCTCCCCACCCGCCAGTACTGATATGACCCTAAATCTGTCTAGCTAAGAGACAACAATCCCCCAATACCGCCTCCCCCCTCCCAGAGTGACACTTCCCACCTTGTGAAACCCTCACGGGAGGAGGCTTCAACCCTCAAGGAAGACACCACAAGTATATATAACAAGCCACAATTACACCCCTCAAGACCAAGAAGTTGGAATTAACAAGCCAATCCGAATCAAAATCAAAATTTTACCGCACAGTGTTATGGATCTAACAACATCACACTTTGAGACCTCAAATTGTTAAGACTAATTACTAGATGAAAATTACTTAGCATCGACATCAGAGAACCCATTGGGATAACGAATTAGATCGAGAATAAGAGAAATCACACAGACATCAAATAAAGCATCGAAAGGGTTTGAATCTTGAATTTTAAGCATCAAAACCGAAAAAAAAAAAAAAACGATTTGATAAGTTTGGAAAATCCAAGTAGGAAAAACACAGTAGAGAATCAATTTTATTGTCCAAGCGGACTTTCGACTCAGACTTCCAGAACCCAAAGTCCAAGAAAATGGTCAGACCGTAATTCAGGAAATGTCAATCAGAAGAACCTCTTCGCAAGAACATCTAAGCTTATGGCTTTAGAAAAACAAACCGATAACATCGTTTTGATAACCATCAAAATTAGCGACGTAGGAAAACAAAGTAGGTAATACAACCATCGTGACACAGCCAAATCCGAAATCAGGATCTAGACTTCAAGATTAGAAGACTAATAGGTATTAAGCCAGACAAAATAGTTGAGAATCACCTCGTCAAAAATCTAATCAAAGCTATGACAGAATCACCACAACAAAATGAAGAGGAAGAACACAACATACCTTCGACGTCCCTAAAAGCACCCCCCCTCTCTCCAAACCTCACCTCCTCCTTCATCGACTTTCCAGCAACTCGGCCACCTGTGGTTGACGCATATTCAACCATAAAAAAAAATCGAACGATGAAGATAATCAGGACCGCAGCCTGGAGTATTCCAAAACCGAGTCACGAGCCAAAAACCGTTGAGCCTGCCAGTCGCCCTTCACAGGTAGCCTGAGGAGATGAAGGGGTGTCATTATCGCCGATGTCGCCCACCCCCCACTCCTTCTTTTGAACCTCTTCCCCTGATCTACTATTCCTCCTCTCCGATAAGACCGTGTTGAACTTCGTCCATGCAAACTTCGAGACTAAAACAAGAAAAGTTGTAGCGGACCCACTAGGTGTGGTGCTCCGCTAGTGACAGAGATGGAGATGGAGGAAGAAGGGGGAGCAAGATCGCACAACGCAACTCCCCACGCAAGATTCCAACGCACGTACTCCAAAATGTGCAAGTGAGGAATGAGCCTGAAAACAGACAATGGCTGGGGTATACCCCAGCGTACTGACGGGACTGGACTGGACTGGCTGGTACCGACAGAGGTACCGGCCTGGACTGGCCTACCCCGAATATAACACAGGCCTGTGAGAACAGGGCTGGTCTCACAGGCCAACCCGAGGTCCGCTACACGATCCTCGGCCTGTGATGGATCGCCTAGATACAAACATGCTTCCGCCAAGAAGCAGAACTCTACCAAAGAAAAGAAAACCTGAGTAGTCTAGGATGCGGAGCAAGCTCCATGCTGAGTCCATGCGATGCAACCTAGGATATAAAATGTCACAAAACAGCAATGTCACAGCTAACAGCCTAAGTGAAAGTAGGAGCAACTAACTAACATACATGTCCTAGGAAAGCAAAAAGTAGTGACAACTAGATCCTAGAATGTTGGAGGCACTAACCTCAGTCTGGTAACAACTGACTAGTGTATAAGTCCTAAGAACAGCAAAAGCAGAACAACTAAATCCTTGAAATGTCGGAGGCAGTAGCCTCAGTCTGAGAGCAACAAAGCAATCAACAAGACAACCATATGTCACATGAGAAATGTGTCGCACACCAAAGGGTAGGATGGTCTCTGAGGGTGGCGAATGCAGCCTAGGGGTCGAAAACTCCTAAGGGCATCCACACATAGTGACAGGGGAAAACACATGTCATCAGGCTCAATGAGGGTAGGGAACTGGGAGCGAACAGAACCAATGACCCTAACAGCTAGACCATGAGGGCGGGTAATGCTCGACTAAGGGGTGACCGCTATGGAGGGTCGACCATGCAAGGGAACAAGGAAGCCTGGTATACTGGGCGTACCTAGATGAAGCATGCGGGGCTGCCTAACTAGGGCGTGAGGGCCGGCGAAGGGTAGAAAGATGATAAGTAAGGGAATCATGCAAATGACTCCTAAAGTGAGGGAAGTCGGAGCTAGATCCGTAAGATGGGAAGCCAGGGCAA